AAAAAAATAATAAATTAAATTAAAAACAAAAACTTTAGTTTTTGTTGCAGGACAAAATAATGGTGGATGGCCAGATTTGGCCCATGTGCCACTATTTGCATATGACTGCTTCATAATTCTTTTTAACCTTTGAAAATGTAGAGATACAGTCTATGAGATGGACTTGGAAGTGGGTGTGCAAGTTTGCCAGAGTGACTTTATTCGTTATATTGGTTTAAAAAGAGGTTAGAAAGACTGAGTTTGAAAAAAAATGTACTGAAGTCTCATATAGATAGTGTATTTGTGTCAGCTCATACTGCAATTATAAACTTCCATGAATGCTATATTATTTTGCTTAGTATGGATGGGTTTTGGCTCACAGTGGTGCAGTGGTTGGGGCTGTCGCTTCACAGCAAGAAAGTTCCAGGCCGACCTGGGCCTTTCTGTGCAGAATTTACATGTTCTGAACCCCTGCATGGGCTCTCTCCGGGTACTTCGGCTTCCTCCCACAGTCCAAAGACATGCAGCTTAGGTTGACTGGTGACTCTAAAATTTTGAGTCTAAATTGTCTGTAGGAGTGAGTGTGAGTGTGTGTGGTTGTTTGGCTACATGTCAGCCCTGTGATAGACTGGTGACCTGTCCAGGGTGTATCCCGAATCTCGCCCAATGTCAGCTGGGATAGGTTCCAGCCCCCCCGCTACCCTAAGCGGTGCAGATAATGGATGTTTGGGTTTTGAATGAATGCCCATCATCATTGCCTGCGCTATACAAGGTGAGCAGCAGAGGGCGAAGGGCACTTCCGGAAACAGAACGGGCGTAACGTCCAATCACGCAAGACTTCAATTTTAAATGAGAGCCGACGGTTCTTTCTTCCTGTTACTGGGAATCACAACAGCAACAAAAGAGTTTTCAGGTGCTCAGGACTCTTTTGCAGCTAGTCGGTTGATTTTGAGCTTCAGCGGCCTCTCGCCGACAGCTGTTTGATGGGAACCCAGGAGGGAGAGAGAGGTAAGGTGGCCGAGATTCTCTGCTCCAGTCGGGGGAAAGCTAATAACGACACGTAACGCTAACTCAGCTAACGTCAGGTTATTGTTGGGTTCCTGCTGTCATGAAGCTTGACATCGCCTGTACGTGCATATATTTTACAGATAATATTAACTTAACGATTGGTGCTAGCAGTTTAATGTATTCTGATAATATTCTAGTTAAGAAACAGACCGAATTAGTTAGTAATGTCAGCTAGCGACTTTAGGGTTAACTAACACTAGCTTTACTGTAAAGCATAAAACTTAAGCATAAGCATAAACTTTATTGCCAAATACTATCAAAAATACAAGGAACTGACTCCAGCCCAATGACCCCCGATGTGCACAACACTATAAAAACGGGATAAAATGAAAAGCATAAGTAAAATTAAAGCAAAGACAAAAATGAAGCAAAAAGTACACGCATACATACATATACGTTAAAAGAGCTACTGTAGCTAAAGCACATCTGTAAGTTAACGGTGGCAGCTAACTTTTGACAAGAGTTTGCTGGTTGATTAGTCAGCTCAAATTCAGAGGCACCGGTATTATTTGTTATAAACTGTGCGTGTGTGCTCCAACCCGTTAACGTGTAACGGTAGCTATAGTAAAAAAGTATTTGGTGAGTGTGTGTGACTTTAACCTTCTTTTCTACAGACTGGATAGATGTGGCAAATGATCTACTCAGCAAGTGTCACATAAACCTGCGGCTGAGGAAGCTCACGGACTGTGATGCAAATGTTTTCGTTGCTTTGTATGAGAATATCTTGGGGGAGAAAGTTCCAGGTAAAACAAATGTCAACACAATTTAATCACAATATGTCAAATGTCCTCCTGTTCCAGCCTCACAGGAGTGAAGATTTGCATTTTGTTTTCTTGTCTAATGCAATGAGCAATGCTATGATAGCATCTGATATTCATGGACCCCTCCGTTACTCAGTTAAATCATCAAATAATCATCAGGGTAACCAATGATGATTGGCTATTGTCCCTTATATCTACAAACTGGGCTTAAAGTTGTGACCTTAAAAGTGTTAACAAGGACATTTCAAGTCTAATCAGAAGCATTGAAGGTTAACAAGCTGCTAGTGTAAAGCATGATCTGAGTGTGCTTATTATGTTGGGAATGCTTTGTAAGACCATGAACCATGCCATCGCGAGACTGGTAATGTTACTGAGCTCTTGTCTGCATTATTAAGAACTAGATGTAGCAGAAAGTGACAGCCCAAAGTGTTCAAGGAAGTTTGTGTGAACGTGTGTTTCTTTCAGTTTGGCACTGCTGACGGTGTGAATGTCACTGTTTTTGTGGGTTACACTTGTGTCTGTTTAGATTATATTGCAGCAGCATGCAGTCAAGAGGATGACATCCATAACGTTCAGTCTGTGATAGATTCACTGTCCCTGGATTACCTTCAGATCAGCCTCTCACACATCACAGGTATTGGAAAAACACAACACAACACAACAACACCTAATCCTAATGTCTGTCTAAAAGTTTAAATGTGTATGTTTAAGAGGGCAACAACTATGCTGCTACATACATGCATAACTTCGACTGTGATTGACAAAAATTCACCAACAGGTCACTATATTATGTTTCCTGAAATGGTATGCAGAAACATGCAAAAATATAATCTTATTTTTTCTTCAGCAATAAAATGTATGAATACTGTGTAAAATGCTGAGGATAGCTGTGTGATTGCAGGAGAAAATGTTGTCAGAGGGGACAAAGAGTCTATCAAGAATCTCCTGGAAATCTTTGATGGCCTCCTTGAATATCTTAATGAGGAGATAAGCGAGGAGTCACAGAATGATGGTAGGCAAACTCATCTATCACTGTCCCCTCCACAGTTGAACAGATAATACACAATTTTAGCTTTTAACAAAGACATTTATGCAGATGTAAAGTAGATGTGTGTTTTTACATGCAAAGGCTGGTTTGTTGGTCTTGTCATTAAATGGCTTTGCAGACCAGTGTTCAGAGGGAAATAAGAAGGTTGCACTTCTGTATCTAGTAGTTTCTTAATTTGGCTGAGTTTACTGTTTTGGCTCAGTTTTCTGTGCTTTGGCTCTGAGTCTTTGAGGTTTACTTTTAAATATTTTTCAAAAGGGAACAGTAATTATCAGCATTGCATCACTGGTTATTTTGTCACTCAGTTTGTTGAACCAGTTTGTTCCTCTTTAAAATTCCATGGAAGCTATTACTTGTTGTAGTTGCTTCTGTTTTTTTGTAGTTTCTCTTCTTTCTCACACTGTGGGTCATTTATTCTACATCTGTTTTACAGAGGAAGTGAGTGACCATCTCAGTGAGGAAGCGCATGGTGAAACCAAGGGCCCAGCAAATTGTGATGCCACAGAGCAGAAGGAGAACAAACTTGATGGAACATCATTGTCTTCCAATGGAGAGTAAGAGCTTCTCCTAGATGCACTGCATGTCCTCCACAAACATGAGGAATCAACACTATATCATGTTCATAAGATCAGTTCAGATTTGTCATGAGGGGTTTCTATATTTAAATCAAGGTGATATTTTAGGTGCTGACCTTTTCATTGCTATGGGAATTTGACCTAACTGCCCACAGATTAAGATGTTTATCAGTGTGGGCAATACTGTGACTGTTCTCCTTCACTTTTCTGTTGATAAAGGCGTATAGTGCTTCTCACAGCTCTTGCGTCTGGTTGTCGTAAACATGCCACTGTTGTGGCTCCTAGAAACGTAAAATCCAGAGTTTCCTGTGCAGCAGAGAATTTGTGTTTGGAAGGCCATGCCAGACAGCAGGTGCCACAGACAGTAAAAGGTCATATAAGAACTTTGTCTGTGTGTCTGTTAGTTGAAATCACTTTCACACTCAGTCTGAATGACATCCTAATATTTTTGCTTTAACTCCATACATAATGCATATAGAATTGCACAGTAACATCCACATAAGGTCTACGACAACAAGCATGATCTGGATCCAAGTATTATTCCAGATCTGCTGATCCAGAATGCTCAAATGTATAGGGCTCACAAAAAACTTGCTACAGTGAGACAACAAATAAAGCTGCCGACTTGCAGCCAAGATGAAATTCTAGCTGAAACTCTGCTTATTCAGTAGGGTGTCAACAGATCTGACGTATTGTCAAACGTTACTGAGCTACATCATGAGGAAAAGCACTATTACTGAAATATTGTTTTTCTTGGAAAACCTTCTTAATAATAATGATATCAGTGTGATTCCAATCACGCCCGTTGCATCAATCAATGCAACGGGCAGGTTTTCATGGTCAAGAAATCCTGTTATGAGGGTCAAACTATCATGGTAATATTCTTTTTGGGTGTAATTACGGGGACAGGAGGACAAGGTTTGCGTTCTCTGGGTGCTGGCTAGTCTTGTATATTATTATTTTGTAAGGTAGTACACACAAGTCTTAACTTGTGTCAGAGTAAGTTAATACTAACGGCCTTATACATTTATATATGTACAGGATATCTTTTCTAAATTCTCCATGTCTTTTTTTTTATTTTATTTTTTTTCTATCGTTTTTAAAACTAATATTTAAATGAACCCAAGAGGAGTTGCTGCCTGGTAGAGTAAGTTTAAAAACTCCCAAAGTAAACAAAGAAACACTACCAGCCCTCCTGTTTGTGTTGCGTTCCTCCAGAAACAATGTTGACAGTCAGGTTTGTTTCACATGACTCTGTAACTCGGCTTTAGTGTTTATCCAGGCAGGATGTCTTGTTGACATATTAGCCGGTTATGGTAACTTCTTAGCACCAGTGTAAATCATAGTGTTTAAAGGATACCTGTAAAACATTTGAGCTCATACAAACATATCTCTGCCTCTGGTTACTTTCTTAAGATTATTTGTTTGGGTGCAGGTTGTAGCAGTAGGAGGTGATTATTCACGCTTTTAAATTATAAAATGATCTGTCAATAATTATCTTTTGGAGATAGTGAAAGCAGTTTATATTTAAATAGCTTTTGTATTGAGTTGGTATTGTAACAGAAGAACCACTGTTGGACTGAGTTGAGAGCGAGGAATGCTGTGAGGATTTCAGCAATATTAATAATAAACATAATAATAACAGCAATGTGCTGTCTGTACAAGGAAGACTTCATGACTTAACACTGACATGACTCCCTCTTAACCAAGGCTGAGATCTGGTAAGCAAACAAAATTTTAACACAGAAGACAGATTATCTTGTTTGTGTTTGGTGCTGTAGCTGTCAGAATTCACTACGGCTTTACTACAATTGTATGCAGCAGCTCGACACTCGGATCAACAAATACACACATAATTAGTGATTTGGGTTTTTACACTGACTGCCTTTCCTGATGCAACTCTCTCAGTTTTATCAGTTTTTATGGGACCGCCGCTAATAGTACACTAGCTTGAGAAACCCTGATGGCAGGAGTGTGGTGCAACCTGTGCCAACCGCGTGGCAGGCGAGAACACCGCCGCTCGACCATCGACGCACCACAAAAGCTTAAAACATACAAATGGACTCAGTTTCATGATTTCAGTACAGTTTATCAAATTACCCGATGTACAACCCCAAATCAGAAGCAGTTGGGACAGTATATAAAATCAAAATTACATCCGAAAATAGTGATGTCTAAATCATCCTTGTCCTGTATTACATTAAAAACAGTACAGCAGTACAACAGATACTCACTTCAGTTCTGATGCCTGAAACACATTGCAAAAAAAGTCGAGGGCGGTTGCATTTTAGGGCCAGTAATGAAGTAAAACAATGAAATGATGATTCCATCTGAAACAGGTGATGCCAACAGGTGACTGCAATCGTGATTTGGTACAACAGTGGCATCCAGGAAAGGCCGAGCCCTTTAGGAGCAAAGATAGGCCGAGGATCTCCAGTTTGCCAACATACAGTGTATGTGAGAAAATTATTGAAATGTTTAAAAATAATGTTCCTCAAAGAAAACTAGGAAGGGATTTGGATATGTCACCCTCTGTGGTGCATAACATAATTATAAAATTCTAGCAATCTGGAGGGATTTCAGTGTGTAAGCCTAAACTGGATGCCCGTGCGCTCCAATCCCTCAGACGGTGCTGAATCAAGAATCCTCACTCTTCTATAAGCGATATAACCACATGGGCTCAGGATTACTGTGGCACAGCCGTGTCAGACACTACAATGCGTAGTTACAACCATAAATGCTGCTTGAAATGAACAACGAATAAAACTGATGAGGTATCATCAAATGCGATGCTTTGTCATGGCAAATAATGTGCTGCTGTGTTGTTTTGAATGTAATACAGGACACATAACTTACAATTCACTCACTATTTTTAGCTTTAGATTTGATTTTACAGACTCTTCCAACCTTTTCTGAGTTGGGGTTGTACTTGTGTGAACCTGTGGGAAATCAAATGATGTATTTATCATTCAGGTCTGCTGTCCTGTCGAGTAAACATTCCCTCCAGTCTTTGAATGCTGAGGAAATGGGATCAGTTAGCGAGCTGGGAGTCTCTGCACGCACCTTTACAGAAAAACAAGAAGGTGAGACACAGACACACACACAGTGTGAGTTGAAAAGGTTCTTTTTGCGTCTGTTTGAAACAGTTTTAAACCTTGAGGTGACATTAGTAGTTTCATGCACTAATTAAAGCTCTTAGTCTGGTTGTCATAGTTTAAAACCAACCTGTTATGTGGTTTTAACTGCCAACACAAACAATTTAGCATCAGTGTGTGTTAGACAAGGAATATTCTTGTCTGTATACACCAGAATAATGAGTTGTGTGTGCTTTGTCACATGATGTTGCATTCACTAATGATTATTGATTCATTCTTTATTATTGATTTCATTAATTTTTTTTAACTTAAATATAATAAACCTCCATGATTAATTTATCCTTTTGCAAGGACCGGCTTCCCCTCCCCAAGCCTCAGATGCAGTCACCGCCTCTGATCGTCTGGATGTTCCACCGACCGAGCCACTGTATTCAGCCATCGCTCTGCAGCCACCCAACCAGAGCAGTGCTCCTCAGAGCCCTGGCACAGACGCACACGCACCCAGTCGGTCACCCACCGGCCTCAGCTACGGGCACACAGAGAAGGAAGCTGTTCCTGTCAGTATGGAGGTAGCCATATAACACAGTATGATGAGTGCCAGTTATTTGCATGCTGTTTGAAAGGACATGCAAACTTTATCTTCCCAGAGTTCTAGATGCAATGGCAAATGTTAATACATTCCCAGCAATTCCCTGTCTTCCACACAGGTACACACCTCCCATTTTAGTGATTCTAAGACAATACATGAAGGATGGGCACATGCTGACTCAGCCTGACTCATTCAAAATGGCTCCTTCAATAACAAAACTCATGTATCTGACATTTACTTTTAAGTATTGCACCACCGTTCACTTAACAGACCTTTGAAGGGGCATTTCAAGTAACAGTTATCAAAGTGTGAATGAATGTCTCATGAGACATTCATTCACACCGCACTGCTGTGCTGTTGATAGTAAGAACTAGAGTTGGTTCAGTTGTAGCTGACATACAGCACACTACATGTATTTTGTTTATTGAGCAATTCCTTTTTACATTTACCTCACAAACTAGATTTAACTGTTGATACATTTGTATAAGTCCAGAGTGGATTGTTAGAACAAAGTGATACAGTCTGTCTGTTGGGAAAGATTATCACCTCCGCTGACACACTATCACATTGCCTTAAATGGATATACATGTATGTGAAATTATATTTTAGCCAGGGGTTATTAAAGTGCAGTGTCATTATTTAGGAACACTTTACAACAAGTTTACTTTCTCAGCTGTCTTTGATGGTTTATTGTTTCTTTTATGGATAGTTTTTAGAAAATCTGCCTGTAGCCACTGTTAATAGCCTCTGCTCAAATTCACAGTGACTGCTTTCGCTCTCACTTTCTAACTGTGCTTCTCACATAGACCTCCATACCAGCTGCTGAGACCTTTGTTACCAACGGGCAACAGTCTCCTGCTCTTTGTCAGTCTCCTGGTGAGTTAAAACACATGGAGCTCCATTCTCAATCAGACCTACTGTAAATGTCGGGTGCTTTAACTGTGTGATTTCTTTAACCCTGCATAACATATTGTGGATTTACAAAGTGATTCTAAGTGAAAATCCCCCAGCAGAACACGTGGTCACTTAGATCTTGTCCTGTTCTTGGCTCAATTTCCAGCTGTGAGTGAGAAGTCTTCAGCCAACCAGCAAAGAGTAAGGACAGGAGCGAAAGGGGAGATACAACAGGTAGGAGAGCAACAAGTACTGACTTGTACCAGTTTTACAGTAACTCCATGGCTCCTTAGTGTTTAAGTGCAAATTTGCTGTTTTTCCCCTAATCTCAGCCAACTAATGGGGGTCCCAGGAGGGTTTTATACCGCACCCAACCAGATGTGCTCTTCCTCACCTTGCAGGATGAGATGGAACTCTTCACCACTTCTCCAACAGACAGTGAAGACGAAGAGCAAAATGAGGAGGATCTGAGATGTACACATAGGCTACAGGACAGAAGGATGGGTCACAGACATAGGACAGGTGTCAGGTAAGAGAGGCAGAGCTACAGAGATCAGCAGGAGGCTATAGAATATCCTCAGCGAATTTGATGAGGGGACAGTGTTGTAATGGTAGCTTGTGTATCTCTGCTGCATTGCCTGCCCAAGCATTAGCAGGTTGGAGGAGGGTTTTGAGGATCCGCTATCCTACCGCAGACAGAGGAACAGGAAAGCTGAAGAGGAGCTGCATGACATATCTGAAAATCTGTCCCATCGACTTGAGGAACTTGATCAGGTGTGTGTATTTTTGCATTTGGTCACACCACGTTAAGGACTTTACAACCATGAGAAGATGTACTACATGTACCTATGATATTTTTGTATTTGTGCATTATCCCTTTAATGCATGCACCTTTCATAGTTTGTGTAATTCCTGTAGATGCTTAAACGGGTTTTGGGTGAAAGTGAAGAGCCCATTGAGGTCAGAGAAGAGGACAAGAGGTCCCACCACAGCGACAGCATCATGGAGTGTCGCAAGACATCTGGACAACACATGGGTACGAACACATTATCGCTGAGATATAGTAAATATATTCTTTTTATGCAGAGTAAAACAAATTGCAGCCCTTGTTAGCCCAAGTTTTGTTTGTTTTGGCTCATTAACTGCAAAAGCACACAAGTTTTATTATTCATTTTTAACACGTAGCCACTGATCATTAGTTTCACAATTGCATGATTCGACTTGCAGGGATTTGTAGTTAAATAGCTAAAACATAAAAACCACATGTAGGGTCCTTTTTCAAAAAAGAAATAAAGTAGGTAAATGTGTAATAGGTAAATATATAACTCTTTAAGATCTCATGCAATTCAATGACTGTCACTTGTCAATGACATGAACTGTAACATTAGTTTCAGGGACGGCTGATGCTGAGCACACCCATCGGACGCGCTCCTTATCCCCCTCTCCTCCACGTGCCCGTCGCTCCCTTCAGGGACAGGTAGAAGATGCTGTGGCAGACACCTTGAACCTGGACGATGGGAGACAGACAGACCTTGCAGCTTCTGATCATTGGAGACGAGGAGAGCAACGTCACAGGCAGTCTCACAGAAAACGCGGCAAGGTATTAATAGTCATTTGTGTTGTAATGTGGTTCACAAATCAGTATATTAACATGTACTGGCTTATGTCACTTAAGTCTTATTTCAGCTACAGTATGTTGAAGGGATTCCACATTTTAAGCACAAGAAGATAATTTGTATATTTGCTTCATTTTCAGTTTCAACTACAGATAAAGAATAAGTAATGTTCATATTAGAGTTTGCTGCTGTCCATGGCTCTGTCATGTCATATGACAGAAAATGAAATTACTCTCTCTCTCTCTCTCTTCCAGTATCTGGAGAATGAGACCTACAAGGAGGAGTTGAGAAGATATGAAGACAAAAAACGGGCAGATCTTGACAAAGCACGTCTCAAAGCTCAGGAAGCTGTAAGTCATTAGTACTGTATGAAGTCTAGTAGAGTATAAGCCCTTCCCCTGTCCACCTTTAGGACATTAAAGCAGTGATTTCTCTTTTCCTGACTAATTCAATACCTTATTTCAAAAACTTGTTTTTTCAACCATGCTATGAGTTTTATGACTTTCAGATGGAATATGTGCTGTATGTTTACTAGTTCTGTCTGTTCAGCTTGTCCATGGCTGCTAGGTTTTGTTTCCCTCCTGACATTTACACTTAAAGATCGCATTTAGAAGAATTTACTGCAATACAATATACAAGCAGAACATGCAACACTTTCTAATTAGAGTATGCTGCACTAATACAATCAGTGCGAATAAGCATATTGGTTTGATAAATTGCAAAGTTTAAATGTGTTTACAGAGACATCTATTTTGTCATAGTACAGTAAATACTGTAGGAAGCATTCAAAAACATGGCATTTAAACAATCAGTTTTAGGAAGCATTTAATCAATATTGAATTTTAACTGTAAAAATATAGTGTTTGTTGATGTGTTCTACTCGAAACTGGAGAACATTTCCCTAATCAACCAAATGCCAATGTAACCCCCAAGACTTTCTTGGTATAAAATGGCAAAAGCAAAATATTAACTCCTGTGTAAATGTGTGAGTGCTTGTGACAGTTTAACAGTGTATGTGCCTTTGTGTGTGTGAAGGAGCGACAGTATAGAGAGGCCATACTAAGTGATGTCTCCCAAGCCCCCCGACTGTCCCCAGCTAAAAAAAGGACCCAGCACAGGTTGCAGCTTAAACAAACAACACCAGGACGGAGACGACATGAGGCCCCCAGAAGAGCTCAATCAAGTAAGTTAAGACTTCTATATTTAACACATGAAATTTGTAGTAGAGTTCCATTTTCTTATATTGAAACACGTCCTACTTTCATGCGTGAACATACCAATATATAGGCATATACAAGTACTGTTTTACTCTAATTGTGTTCCCTATTAGTAAAATTAGTCTGGTCCAAAGCTCCAACCCCACTCTACCCATACTTTACACTTAATTGTCTGTCATCATCAAGCATCTCGATCTACATAAGGATGGTCCGCTGTAGGGCGCATCTGAAACTATGTTCTTTCCCAGAGTCAGATTTATGTAAGTCAGTCATATCTAAGAGTTGGTAGTGTTCCTCAGGTGTCTAATGGGTCACCAGAGTCTGAGACTGGTGATTCAGAAACACTTGTCTTGTTGGCATTTACAGAGACGTTGTCCTCGGGCTGAAATTTCTTCTTGGGTGCTGTGTGTGCCTTATGTATACTTAAATGTCTAGCTTCAGGCTGGCTGGCCCACTTGCGTTGATAATCACAGAAATAACAACTCTGGTAGACTATGAAGTAAGGACCACAAGTGCGTTTGCTACAGCGACACTTTCTGTCGCACATCGGGCAGTTCTTCATCAGCTGCAGGATGGCCTCCTCATCAACAATGTATTGCAAAGTTGGTCTGTAATGGGTCAGAGAAGATAGTGGAGAAATGATAAGACACATGGGTTATGAAGCATGGCTAGAGATGTAAACAAAACTGAGTTGTTACTAGGGTTGCAGTGGTAAAAGATTATCGCGGTAGGATAACAGTTTTGATTCAGCTGGACTTCAGAGCTAGATTGACCCTAAAGAATAAACATGATAAAGCATTTAACATGTTATATAACTAAAGCGTGTTAGTTTGCATGTTGGCACCAGCAGTAGGGGAAGTATTATCATTAATAGCCTGTCACCCATTGATGTAAAAGCAGGATTTGTCTGTAGTTGGTTGAGGTGGAGCTCTGCTGAACTAGCTTGCATCAAACTACTGATTATTTTCGTTACAGATTAATCAGCTGATTATTTTCATCATTAAATCGACTGACTGGTTTGTAAAACTTATAACAGTAGTGAGAAATGCTGTTACAGTGCTCTGAAAGATTGTCAAAATAGTTGTCAAGTTTATTGTAGGTGCACGACACAGCAGCCAAACAGATCCTGTCTGTACTTTTGCCACACACACACTTTTGTGAGCCGGGACAGTTTGTGTGCGTTTCTGGGGTCAGATTGGAATCGGTGTGAGTCTTGTTGTACATCAGAGGTTAGTGAATGAACAGACAAGGTGGAAAGTTATTTCAATAGCGCATTTATATGCTCGCGTTTATCGTTTGGGATTAAAGCAATAAATGGGACACATACTTTGATTTGCACAGAGAGATGGTGTTTGTTTTTGAGATGTCCACAGTAATACTGTGCTACTGGTTTACATTTCTTTTTTGGTGGATGGAGTTTGGTGATATGAGCCTCTGTTCTCTTTGCTGTTTGTCCGCTGCATGTGATACCCATTGCGGAGTCTGACGGGCAGGTGGGGAAGAAAGGTGCGCACACATTGCATTTTTTAAATTCAATACCGGTAATAAGCAAATGTGCATGGTATGATAACAGTCAATTTTCATACCATGGTATACAACCCTAGTTGTTACTGTGGATCATATATCACAGACACAGCAGCGGGACAGGGGTGTAACCTACACAACTGTAAATGACTGGAGTATAATGAAGTTTTGAATGAATGTACTATCTGCCTTTTTCTAAACTAGTGGAACAGGATCGAAGTTGCTTGCTGACTTACTTCTCTCCATCCCTGGTCAAAGGACATGTCTCAGGTGGCGTTACTTGAATGCCTGTGGATCAGTATCAGCATATACAATAAAAAGGATATTTAGAATACTAGAACATTCAGGAAAAGTACTTTTTAAACAAAGTTTTAAAAACAAAAACATGACTTTAGATACTTGATGGACAAACTATTTCTAAGGTTCCATGAGAAGTATACCAAAAGAAAATGGAATTGTTTATAGTAGAGCAAAATACCACAACTCACCAATGCTTCTGAACTGCCGCTTGGATTCATCCATTACCGGGCAGTTGTCTTGGAACTGCAAAATAGGATGGCAGTGATATAAGATGCCTCAGAACCCAAATTCCTGCACCACATACATAGGGAAAGCTCTTTTAAAAAGCACACAAGCAGAGACAGTTACACAGGTGGAGTAGTGTGAGTAGAGCCTTAAGTTTAGATAAGTTATTAAAGGAAAAGGATGATGTTGTATCTTATTTTCAAAACTTCCCATACCGAGACTAAAATCAACAGTGAATTTTGTGTACTCATCGTAACATCTGTGAATCTAAAACTTGCTTTAGCTTATTTGTCTGTTCCGTAGACCTCGATTGTTGTCCCAAAGTAATTAAAAACAGACCAGTAGGCCACAGCGCTGCATGGGGTGACATGTTTCTTTCTCACAAAAAATGTGAGTCCCACCTCTTCTCAAAAAAGAAAGGGCGCCAACAAATAAGAATGACCATCATTTTTTTTACAGTCTCTGAAGTAAGAGAATCAACTGTACAAGCATGTGATCTCTGCCAGTCATAATGTCGACTTTGGATTACAGTTCTTTGAGAAACTGTCATAGTCTACAGTGAGCGTGAATACATCTGATGCACAAGAGGAAAGATGGATTTGATGGATTCATAGAACCATTCTTGTATAAGCCAGAGTATTCACAAGAGGAAATCAGAGACTTACTGTGAGGGCGAGACAAGAGCAACACTAGTGGACACTAACATTGACACTTCAACTAATAACAAGGCATCTAGTATCTCAGACAAACCTACAGGAGACTGGTGGTGTAGCTGTGATCACTGTTCAGCAATGCTAGCTGAGACCAGCTGTAGATGATGCAAGGATGAGACACAAGGGAGACGTTTCATGTGTCACACACCACTGACTTATCGTCACACCTAAGGCCCAGCGTGTTGGGACATTTTCTTTAGGGTGGACAAAGTAAACTGAGGCATGAAATCATGTCCCGGCTAGTGCCGATGGCACGCCGTCTCGTGAGTAAATAATAACTTACCTGTTAAACTGAGATTGCGTCATTACATAAATGCACTGTAGAAACACTAGTTGAGATAAAATATCTCTTTATTCAACCGAAAGGCAATTGTTGAAATTGTAAGCAATAAAGAGAACATAAAACAGTTATGGTTATAATTTGCTTTAGGAATGCACCTAGCATGTGATACAAGTAAGCACCACCTTATAACCACACATATACACTTTACTGCAAAAGAAAACATTTTTCTTACAAAAAGCTTTGTTCTTGTGATATTTGTAAATGGATCAAAGATATAAATCCTACACCACACACAAATTTGAGTATTGAAATATTAAGCCAAAGTCATACATTTTTCAGAAGTGACAAAGAAATTGTAGTAGAGGTTTACTCACGCTGTCAATTGAGAGATTGGCCTCTTCAATTTTCACCTGGATCACTTGTTTAGATTCTGCTACATGCTAGAGAAAATATCATGCAAATAATGTGACAAACAAATACAGCACAGTAAGGAAATACTGCATTGTTATGACAATATTACCTGTTTGTATACTGGATTTATAGCTGGACTTGTGGCAGTATACACCCCTGAAGGGCCAGGCAGGAGGAAACGAGAAAAAGGGCGCCTACCATGTTTAGGGAAACTACTCTCGACTGGACTATTCAAGAGAAATTGAACAACAAGAGGCATCTCCCTGGATTTCATTGGTGGCATGGCCTATCAGAATCAAATGACAGAGTTATGAAAGGATGTCATCCTCACGTTCTTCCTGTAATGTTAATAGTACCTGTAATGACTAGCTTTTGCACACAGACAACTGTAATTGTAAATGCAGTGTAAATCAGTCACATTAGATACACAGCCCCTACATTATATGTGGTCCAAGAAACTGATTTTTTAAAAACTTTATAAACAAAAAAATTAATAAGCATGTCTCCAACTGCTCCTTACATACTGAAATGTAATGCTAACATTACCAAAACGTTTATTCTCAACACAGTGATAATGCACAGTGCGTTACAGGCTGTCACTACTAATACACTCTCACCCGCTGGTATGATACAGATGTTGTCGGCGCACATTCCGGTTCTGCAGATGGTCGTGGGAAAACTGATGGCACAGCACCTCGCTTCAATGCAGTATAATAACCTTTTTGGCCTCCATGATAATCCTCATCTCTGAAGTGGTCACTGCACACACGCAGGTTTTGAGTCTTGGTCATTCGCACTGTAGTAAGTTTGGGGCTAAACCTTGGATTATTTATTGCTTCTAGCCAAAAAAAAAACAGTGCAGGATCCAAAGGGACAGAGTGAAACTTCCGTTGAATACACACTTCTGTGGTCCGCACATTGCCACAACCAGGTACTGAGCACTTCATTTCCTAAATCTAACTCTGATCAAGTTAAACATAAAAAATGACTAGAAACCGAACAAAACTACTGTAAAGAGACACGCATGCGCAGTGCACTATTTCTTTTTCCTGTGATTTAACAAAGCGATGGCCTTTGGAGCTCTATTTTCTTCAAAACTGGCCTCACATTTGTCATGACAAGAAGCATGTCACCCAGTACAGCGGCGTGGCTCACTGGTCTAATAGTTTTGGGACAACAATGGAAGTCTACGGTGCCGACGACTAAGCTAAAGTCTAGATTCACAGACGTTACGGAATACACGAAATTCATTGTTGGTTAGTCTTTGTATGGGATGTTTTGAAAATAGCCACCCCCATCCTTGAAACGTACTTATTTCAAGATAAAAGGGTACAGAAAAACCGGACTTAAGACCGAACTGTAATCGAATCTACGTTGTGTAGCACGGTGTGGCCATGGATAGCACGAGAAGCTATCGGAGTAATATACACAGGTCATGCACATGCGCAGTCGAATCATACGGAAAATCGTGTGCGATATTAAAAGTGATGGCTATTGCTGTTTTAAATCACTCTGTAGTGATATAAGTTTTATGCAGACAGTGTGCCCGTACTTTGTGAGAGGAAGAAAGATGTCACTCTTGAAGTAAATGTGGGCATAATTACAGTGTTGGACAGCTGGACTGTTTAGTGCATTGTTAATGGTTTAATCAGAAAGGGAGCGTAATTAGAGAACGGGAGAAGGTCCCGGTTCCTCTTCGTCCACATTTAGTCAAGTCAGGAATCTTTGTCATTATGCATAGCACAACGAAATTTCTTCCAGCAGCTCTCTGTTTAAAGGCACATTATTTACATAAATAACACAAGAATTGTATGAACAGATAAAATGAAGCTATGTAGGACCTAATCAGGTCAACAGCATATTAGCAGCAGAAGAATGAAGTCCCATTCTAAGGTGTACAAATCTCAGTGTTTAAGAAGAAGTGTGAGCATGTGTGTGCATCTGCAGGAGTCCAGTATTCTATCTGTGTGTGTGTGTGTGTGTGACTGGGGGTTAGGGGGGTGATTGATTTCACAGCTCTGGGGAAGAAGTTGTGTCTCAGGGTGTTTGTTTTAAATCTTTATATGGCAGCACGGTGGTTAGCGCCATTGCCTCACAGCGAGAAGGTTCCGGATTCAGGCCCCACCTGGGACCTGTGTGTGTGTGTGTGTGTGTGTGTGTGTGTGGTGGTCTATGTATTATGCGATGGATTGGCGACCTGTCCAGGGTGTGCCCCGGCCCACCCCGTGACCCTGTTCAGGGACCAAGCAGTAGAAAATGAATGAATGAATGAATGCCTATACCTTCTCCTGGAGTGAAGAGGCACAAACAGACTTGCCTGGGTGGGTGGGGTCTGCAGCAATCTGTCCGGCCCTCCTCTGGATCTGGTCAGTGTATAGTGAGTCCAGGTCCTGAAGAGGACTCACCACCCGGGTCAAGTCCTTTCTGTCCTTGCAGTGCAGTTCCCATACCACACTGTCGCACTGAGACAGAGGATGCTCTCTACTGTCGCTCTGTAGAGGTTTGCGAGCAACTGAGAGGAGAGACCAGTGCGTTTCTGCTTCCTGAGGAAGAAGAACCTTTGCTACTGAAGGAATGGCAGTTTTTCCTCCCCGGGTCAGCCATTGTTTCCCAGAACCAACTGGGTTTGTAGTCCTCTCGTTTACAGGGGAGAGTACAGACTCGTAGATTTTTTTTTTTTTAGACTTTCCACGGGGACGTTCTTTCCATACTTTGAATTATTACAAAACTTCAGCCACTGTTTACACCGCTCAGGATCCTTCACCTGCAAACAGTAATAGCTGATCCCACGTTTCCTCCCTTTGCTGCCTTGCACCCCAGTACCATTGCAGATATAGGTTTTTCATAGCAAACTCTAGTTACATAAATAAAGACGGGAGCAAGTTCTAAAGTCGTACATTTAAAGCTGAGAACTAAAGTGAAACATTTACTTCATATTACGAACACGGGCCCAACCAATCAGACGTGTGGGAACGGCGCAATGCATTCTTGTTGTTGTAGGATCTTACCTTTTTTAGAGCCAAACTATAACATACTTTTACCAAAGAAAACCCTCTTTGGACACAGGCCACCAATTTCAAAAGTAATTGCGCCTTTCGGCCACATAGATGTATTCTTTCTATGAAATGACTTGTTTTTCAGCAGCAAATTTTCTTTGACAAGAAATGAAAGACAGGTGCAGCTGATATTTTTTCCATTTGAAGAAATTGGCATTTTAAGACTGCAAAATCTGATGGATGTATAATATAACACTGCCTCATTGTAGCGTGATTTTTGGCATCTTAAACTGATCACTATATCTTTCCGTCATACTTAGGTTCTGAATGGTCAGTATTTTGTCAGGTTATGTGTTACTGTACCTGTGTTCAGGTTTTACAGCATCATGTGTCCACAGAAGTACTTTTGCTGTTGAAATCACAAATTGTAACATTCCTATGAGGTCAGTTAAAAAAATGTAAAAAAAAATTTAGTTAATTTCTCATTTTCAATTGTATCAGCTACTACAGAAACCATTTTGTACTTTAATCAGTTACCCTAATAAGGAGCCACATATGCAGGACTGCATGATGAATATTTAAAAAAAAAAATCCTTTTCTGTCACACACATTAAATTTTGTGTTTATAAACAAAGGAATGGAGCAATAATATGTTATCAGTGTAATGTAGTTATACTGATGATATCTTGGCTTATGTCCGCTCTCTTTCCAGTGAAGGTGAAGGAGAATGAGCTCCTCCCAGTGCTCCTGGAGGAATTACCCCACCTTCACATTTCCCCTCATGCTCTCGGACGGATGTGGGAGCAGCAGATGCAGCAGGTGGACAGACTCCATGCCCTCACGTCCTCTCATGGCCACCGGCGTCGCAGCAATCTCTCCAGCCAGGTAAAGTGGCCAAGCCCAACAGAAGTGCAGTGAGATGTATCCATTCTCCACTGGTTAAAACGTGGGATGATTAGATGGATAGATGGATGGATGAACTGGAGTCAGAATGCTTTTATTTTAATATACTTGGCAATAAAAATTATGATTTGCTGATTGAATATAAAATCACCTGCCTGTCTTTCAGGTGGAGGAAGCACAGAGGAAACATGACCTGCTGGTGGAGCTTGTCCGCAAAGAACAGGACCACAGCAGGCGTCTGGTGAGCATAAACACAAACATACCCTCAGCAGGTCCATAACAACAGTTACAGTGGTGTGATAACACCTGAAATGGGTTAAAAGCCGTAGACATCAAACAGCGCACACACATGCAGGCAGATTTGACCTGTGTTATGGATATACAGTGTTTGTCATACCAAGTTAACATGTTGATCCTCCAGAGGGACTTCAAAGAGCGAATCCAGCAGCAGAAGTCGACACAGAACAGGCTGAGGGAGCAGAGGCAGCAGATGGCCCGCGCCAAGAAGTACTACGATGACTACCATGTCCAGCACCGTGCTCGCCTGATGAGGGCACGCACCAAGGAGGAGAGGGTGGGTAGTGAAAGCCATTCCTAACTTTGTGCTACACATCTTGAAGTAAAGCGTTTTCTTTTCATCATTTGAATGAAACGTGGTTGCAGTTCTTGTAAAGCAAGCCTGGCAGGTTACCAACCCCAGTGACTCAATATGTAGATAAATGATGCAGAAACTAGATATATAGACCATTTGGTGAGGCAGAGACGTAATTTCATATGCTTTTCAAAATGACTACTTATTCCTCTACATTTACTTTTCAAAGTATAACTTCCAGGCCTTCGTAAGTATGCTTTTTTTTTTTTTAACTGACTTGAAAGTTGCTCTTTGACTGTTTGCAGATATTTTAAAATTTCCAGATTGTTTTTTTTTTTTTTAAATCTAGTGTGCCTTTTTTTTTTTGACCAATGGTTTAAAAAAATGCAATTTTCAGTAATATAAAACAGTAAAGCAAGCAATTACACTTTAGAAGCCGAATGCAATTGTGGAATGTTTTAGTCTTCACATCATCTCTTAAGAAATCCGGGTTTCATTAGGTAAGTTAGGTTCCTGTCCTTTAGAAGACCTTGCACCTACACTTATGTGCTGAAAAGGAATCGAGAGCTGTAGAAGAATAAATATCAAGTAGAATGGCATAACAGACTGTCTGCAGTGTTTATTGCCTGTTTATTTTGCACTGTTTGTTTCTGTTTACTTGCCCCTTGCATGGGGATATGTACATGCACATTGAGAGCCAATGTACCAGAGTCAAATTCCTCGTGTGTCCGACACACCTGGCCAATAAAGCAGATTCTGATTCTGACCATGTGATTATCTGGTATTAGTCTTTTAGGTGACATGACCCGCATGTGGTTTTGTGTGTGTGCAGATGTTTCGACAGCTATTTGAGGAGGGTTTGGAGCTACAGAAAGTCCGGTTGAAAGCACAGAGAGCCTATGCCAGAGAGCAGCAACTCGAACATCAGAGACGACACCAGGACCAGATCGAGTCCATGGAGAACTACTACAAAGACCAAGTAGGACACATACAATGACCTATGTATGGGCCAGGAAGCCACTTTAGTATTGTATTAAAATGCACTTCACAATTTGGTCATTCACCTGTTTTAGTTCATGAGATTATGGGTAAAATTAAATGTCAAAACAATAAATCCCCATAAAGTACCTATCTAAACACACTGATTGTATGTAGACAACTATCAAACTCCACCTGAGCTATGATGTGCTCTCCTTTCAGTTTTCACTACTGGCTGAAAAACTTACACAAGAGCGGCAGGAGCTGCAGGTTCGGAAGAAAGCTCAAGAAAAGGTAAGCTATGAATTTCCTGTCTGAAATAAATATAGGGCATCTGTTTATAGGTGAACTAAACAGACACTTTACTTGGGTGAAGAATTTTCATAACTGCTGTTTGTTTGTAGGCCCTGCTGAAGATGAAGCGAGAGCTGCGTTCCAGGATGGAGCACGAGATTGGTGAACTGCAGAAGATCATCATCCAGAATGATGAGGACGACTACATCCAGGATCTCGAGGTCCAGAGGCTGCGTAACCAGATCCAGATGGCTTCCTTCCAGCACAACACTAGTTATCTGCACTGACCCGAGGAGCTAGACTCAGCTGTTTCTAAGATCCACTCCAATCAAGGCTGGATTTACACCAGAGGAATCGGGTGCACAAGACTATTTCTGCCATGGGTACGACATTCTGATGGCTGTCTCCTCATGCATCTTCCTCCACAGATTTGCACAGGAGGAAATGTACACAGGTCCTAAATGATTAATAATGAACCCAACACATTCAGATAAAATGTAGCTTTTAGCTGATTTAGCTAACTCTTCCTCCCACATCAGCTGCTGTACCTAATGATACCTTGGACCAAAACTCCTGCTTCTGTGGTTTCACTGCTTGATAACTAAGAACTTTTTTTAAATCGACTTCCTCATTGTGCAGCTCTCTTGTGCTGTTATTGTAGCAGTAAAACACTAAAAAGGTTTTGTCTTGCAGAATAGGGACAACTGATGCATAAGATTTAACCTTCCATTTTGTGTGTGTTGTCTTTTAAAGTTTTAACCTTTCTAATGGATTATTTATTTTTTAATTTTAATGTTATTTGATTTTTTGTAATGAACCTAGTGTTGTGCATTTTGATTGCCAGGGGCGATGATAATCAGTCTTCCTTTTCCTCAGCTCCATTGTGATTGTTTTTAGCTCTCAGCCAAACCTTAGATTTTGGACTTAATACCAAGGGCTGCAATGATAGCACAGTATTTACTGGTGATTGTGCACACAATTGCCCAGTCACCACCCATTAAAGGTGTGGGCCTACTCATTTCCTCTGCCTGGACTGTGTCACAGTTTGAGTTATTTGCATAAGATGCAGGTTACTATCGTTAGCATTTTTAGGTTCAAGATCATCTTAAAATACCAGATCAAAGAATATCAAAGACCTATTTATTTCACTGAACACATCCTGTAACAAAACCGTTCCAGCTGTAGCATGTAGGGCATTTTGTGAGAATGATTTAGACCCGTGTGACCTTCGCCTCACGTGACAATGATTGTCATGTTTGCATTAGCAGTGAGACCCCTTCCATCAAACAGAGTGCTCCCTCTATCTCGCTAAGCTGCGTTAACCAGTAACCAATAACCACAAAGTGATTTATTTCTGCTTCAACTGCTATTTGGCACTAGGTGTACAGGGCAGGCAGCGCAACATTTGAAAAATAGTTGCAGAAGGGCACAGGATATCTTTCACAATTCCAAACATGTTGGATTTGTTTTTCAATCAGTTTTCCTGTCCACAGCTTGTCACATGATGTAATGCATTCCCTCCATTGGTTAACACAGCTTAGCAAGGAAAAGGGACCGATTGGTTTGATCAAAGGGACCTCACTGCTAATGCAAACATGGCAGAATCGTCACGTGAGACCGAGATTGCACAGGGATCTAAAAATTTGGCCCACAAAATGATTTGCCATGCAGGCCTAGTAACATCACAAACTGACACAAGGATTGAGAACTGAAATTTAAAATTCAAGAGGCATGAAGACCAAATCTAACTGAAAAGGCTCTGTGCATTATACCTCTACTAGCTAAATACTAGTTTGTAATTAGCTGTAGTTGGGCCTCATGATAAAGTGTTCTCATATATTGGACTACAGTTTAACTCTGCATAAAAATTCACAGTCCTTGTTAAGCTGTTTCTACACAAGGATGAAGGGGAACAATCTTTGCTGTTAAGTCTTGTTTAACTGTTGAGTAGTTTTGTTGCGGCGTCCCCACTCCTGTCCACCAGCTATGATTTATCCGTTTACTGTACCTCTCTGTCTTGCATGCCAATCAGTACCAAGTCTTCTTTGTTGGCGTGGTGTGCATGATCTTAACAGGTTGAATTGAAAGCTGAGGCATCAGGTGGATGAGGGGGAGAAAATACTGAGATGTGTTAACATTCCACAGAAAAGCAGACGAATAACCAGCTGCCTAATGTGCTGGCACAGGTAAAAACAACCCTCAAACCTATTCCTGCATTTGCACGATCCCAGAACAGCCACTGTCCGCTTGGAGCATCATTTCGGATATGACACTCTCTCAACTAGTGTTACTGCTTGGTGACGTTGCTATGTCGGTTTGTCCATGTGCTGCATCTTTCCCATTGACTTGGACATCACCATCATCTTTGTCATCACCAGCTAGGTTAGTCCACCGACGGCGATAATGACAGAAGCAGCATGACTGGTTAACAATGAGCTTTAGTCCTTTTACACTTTTTCTAACTTTACATCGCCTGTTGCATTCCCAGCATGACTTGAACAGCTGGAAGATACACTCTTCGTCAACGATGAACTCCGACGAGCTGATGGAATCAGAAAAGATGCACAATCATCAGGACAGGCTCTTGTTTCAGTATGTTCTCTAAACAGAGTAGGGCTGCACGATTATGGTAAGAATGATCATGATTACACAAACTACATTATTAGTATACACACAAGCATACCTTCCCAAGTCCACCAGGTACTGTCCGTCTCCCACACTTAATGTCGTGATGAATTCTTCCTCGTCATCTTGAATATCTGTGTGGATCCATTTTAAACAGGAACCAGTTATTTCTTTTTCTGCAAAGAGTTTACTTAGGATTGTCTTTGCTAAGGTAAGGGTGTCTCACCTCTGTTTTCTTTATTTTCTAGTTGACTAGTCATCCTCTCATCTTGACCTTGTGATCTTTGACAACTGGCATCCTTTCTCCCTGGCTCCTTTAAAAAGAGACAAGGAACAGCAACCTGTCACCATACAGCTTAGTGGAAACACAATCGCATTTATATAGCACATTTCTTACACCAAGAGTGACAAAATGCAATGAAGACAAATCTTGATATAATAAGTCAAAGATAATCAAAGTTAGCTGAAAAATAACCAAAGTTGAGAAAGTGCAACATCCACAGCAGAAATGTTGAATGTGATCATCAACAAAACTTGGGGAGAGAGCGCGCTTTCAAAAAGTTTGCACAAATCTTTAGTCCATGTATCATGCAAGGACAAAAACATCTGCAATATGTTGACTATATGTACAGCTGTGGGTGAAACTCACTGCAAAAAGCTTCCATCTGCCAATTTCTTTTGTTGTCATTAAAAAGTCCAGTTACATGTTGGGCTTAAACCAGCTAGTAGCAGCATTTCAGTATAATACAGATAGAAATGAACTGTTTTGTTTTGCAGCAGCTCAAAGTGACTTAGTTTACAAATCTGCTGTGTATTGTTAAAATTCAAATGAAACTGCAGCGTGCAACGGGTTTCAGCTAGAAGCGTCTATGTTTAATCGGTCATCAACCTTAACGTGGTACATGCACACAAGAGACAGGTCAACCACACAGGCAGCTACAAATGATTTCTTAATTCTTAACTACAGTACATGTATTATGTATACATATTGTTCATATGTTATACTGTACATATACACTCACTGGCCACTTTTAGGTACAACTGTGCAATTCAGTGCAACAGTTCTGCCTTAAACAGCTGTGATTATGAAGCGCAAAATGTTTCCGTTTTTGGTGAAATTGGCAAATCTATAAATTCAATTATATGTTTATTATTGAGGTCATAGTTAAAGGTGGTGTTGTACTGGACTACATTATATTCAGAGGTGTTCCTAATATTCTGAACCTCTCGTGTGTAGTTGGGGAGAACAAAAATATAGACCCCCTCTGAATACAATGCTGCCTTTAACTATGACCTCAATAATAAACCTATAATTGAATTTATACATTTATGACAAACATTGAGCTTCATAAACACAGATGTTTGGAAGTGTTGCATTGAATTGCATACTCTTGTGCAGGTGTATCTAATGAAGTGCCTGGTATGTGCTATAAGAGGGGCCCGGACGCCGCTCCTGTATATCCACCTAGCCGATCTGTGCTCCCTAGCCTACAAAATGGATAAACTCCTCCTCGTCAACCGGACTAACTATGTCTTCTCACACTCTGCTGCTTTATGGCACAACAGTCGTTGGTCTCATCAGTCACTGTCTGGTTTGTCTCAGCAAGCAAACAGGGCAGGAACAGACTCCAGCAGACAGTCAGGACTGCAGAAAGAATCATCGGTGCTAACCCACCCCCCATGGAGGACCTGTACACCTCATGAATCAAAAGGAGGGCAGAGAAGATTTCTGCAGACCCCTCACCCCCCAGACACAACTGTTTAAACTCCTCCCCTTTGGACGGTGCTACAGGTCACTGTGCACCAAGACAACTAGATGTAATGATTCATACCTCTACTACAAATATCAGAAAATGGCTGTAATGAGTTGACTGTTTTACCGCTACATGACAGATTAGTCAATCACATTTACCTTTCCATTCTCAGATGACTGGAGAGAAGGAGCAGCACACATTTCCCGATGCGTTTCTTTTGTTGAACTTGTGATCAGGTATTCATTAGGCACACTTGCACTAAAATGGACACAGACGGGAGTAAGTACATGAATATCAGTTCATCTTACCCACATACATACAGGCTGGTTTTCTGTTATTTTTGTACCAATAAAGATGAACATGTTTTGCCTTTATTCCTCATAATGACTGCTGTAAAGTAAAATAAAAGCTATAACCATATGGCCTATATCAATTACAGACAGTAATGTTAACATCTGATGGTACTACAGTCACTGTAAAAGAAAAACAACAAAGTAAACCCTCCTTCAGTTCCATGTTTTTATTTATCAGGATCTTCAAGAAAAAACTGTGTGGACCTCAGCAACTTTAAATATAAAATCACAACATATCTCAATATGTAGTGAACTTACTCTCAATAATTGTGGAAGTAGGCAGGGTGACTTTTATTTTCCCACCTGGTTTCTGAATGTTGGTTTACTTTTGGGAAATAGTGAGCACATATTGAAATCTGTTGTGTTTTTTGTTGTTGCCAGAGGTTATTTTTGTTTATAAAAGTTGGCGAGGTCCACAAATTGTGGAGACCCTGATAAATAATAATATAGAACTGAAGAAGGGTGTACCTCCTGGTTAAATGAAGATTAATTTACAATAAAACATTTAAAAATCATGATAGAAGGGGGTTTTCTACATCATGGCAACACTGGAGTTGTGATTAGAACTAATCTGTAAATGATAAGTAAACAAATGAACCATTAAAGCCTCTAAAACGAGAGGTCTTATCAGAATGTGGCACTAAAAATAAAACAAATATACACACAGATTATCACTCACC